ACAGCACTCACTCACCCTCCATTCACCACAGCAGTCCTTCACACTAAACCAGTTCTAACTACCTCAGAGTGTCAGACCGATTCATCATGGCTCAACGACTTACTATCCTTGTCCAAAACGTCGCCAAATAAGGAGCCGGTTGCCACGGAGACTAAAAGAGGCATTGCCATGGCAACAATAGATGCTCAAGGTGGCGATAGCTTGAAAAAGTTTGTTGCAGCCACACCTCCTCTAGCAGCAGCAAGTTTACAAGCAACTCCTCCAGCAGTAGCTGGCTCACAAGCTACTGCTGTACCTACTAAGCCACTTGCAACACTTGCAGAGCTGTCAAAAAATGCTTCGCCTGCTTCCAATAAAAGCGAAACTGTTTCACAATACAAAGTTGATCATAGTCAGCAAAAACCAGTCAAACCAGTTGATCAAGTGTCTCAATCTGACGAAGTCAGGAAACTGCTTTTTGGAAGCAATGCATCATCCACTGACCAAACTAGAAGAGATGAAGCTCCTCCAACTTCTGTTTTTGGTGGTCAGAAGAAAGACGATTTGTTGCAAAAGCTTTTCCCTAATCAAACAATAGCCTCTAGGGCAGGGTTACCTAACCAGTCGAACCTAATCCCTACAGATAATCAGACTACTGCACCTACCACTAGTAATAGGCATAATGAGAGTACTGCTGGTATTGGTAGTTTAAACAACGAACCAATAGCAACAACAAACAATACGACTGGTTTACAACCTGAGGCCATACCAAACTTAAGCTTACTGGAAACTCGTAACACAACAACTACAAATACTGGTATAACCAGTTTGACTGGTATAAATACGTCGTCAAACAGTAAGCAAACTGGATCAGTTTTCAATACTGGTCAGACTGAACTAGCAAAAAGACAACAGGAGTCTTCCAATACCGGCGTTACTAGTTTACTAAACAAGTCAATACCTCCACCGCCTAGCCATCAACAAACAGTGGCAACAATTGATGACCTCTCAACAGATAATGATGAAACGTCAAGTGATGATGATGACGAGAATATTGTTACTACTAAGATCACTGCTAGAGGACATCCCCACACTTACCCTCCTCCTACTTCCACTACTGACACAAGCAACCTATTCAGTAATCAGACACCTTCAGTTAAAACCACTCCAGGAGCTGCAAAGAACGAAGAACTGATGAAGAAATTATTTCCAAAGCAATCAAGGACATCGGTTGAATCCGTTACTAAAATAACAAGCAGTACCTCCTCTAATGTTAGCTGGAATGATAAAATTGAGAACATGCACCAGGGACTACCATCAATGGCTAGTGAAGAGGATCGCTTCAACCACAGACGAAGCAATCCAAAGATTAGTAGCAACCATAGCAATGGGAGCAATGCAGGGAATGGGGATATAATCGACGTAGGGAAGAGGAAACCAAAACATGGACGCAGGGCGGGAGAAACTGACACGCCCATATTTGGAAGAGGGGCGGAGAGAGAGGACGTTCCTCCAAGAGGGACAAGCAATGTTTTTGGAGGAGGAGGAGCTGGTAATGGATACCCGTGGGAAATACCAGTTAATACAAGAGGAGCAGAACAAGGTAGAAGAGTGACTGGACACTCTACTAATGATACCGAGGACATAGAAGAAGTAGTAATATAAAAATATATCAATGGATTATTTTATGAATGAATATTTATACAAAAATGTATGGATGGTTAATGCTCATTGTTATTATACATGTACATGTAATAATTAATAATAATTATAATAGTCCTATCATACATTGCTTTTTGTTAACAAGTTCATTCAGAGTCTTCATGTAAAAGATTGAAAAGTCATTCCATACCTATAAACAAGGAAACACTAATATTGTACATCGTGTAATATCATCATCACAGGGTTTCCCACAAGGATTTTGGCATAGTGCTCATGCATGGATTGTCAAGTTGCTTTAAAAAATCAGGCCAAAGTCCCTGTACAGGGTTGTTGGCCAAATTTTGCCAAATATGACTAGGAGAGAATTCTTGATTTTTATAATTTTTACTGATAGACATACATGTTCTTATGTTGTTTATCAAGTTTGAGCTGATTCCGATCAAAATTGGATTTTTTATGAATTTTTAAAGCTGCTCAAAAATCAGGCTAAAGGCCCTGTACTATAGCACAGGGTCGTTGGCCAAATTTTGCCAAAAATGACTAGGAGAGAATTCTTCATTTTTATAATTTTTTCTGGTACATATACATGTTCTTATGTTGTTTATCAAGTTTGAGCTGATTCTGATCAAAATTAGATTTTTTACGAATTTTTAAAGCTGTTCCAAAATCCAACTGCCAACTGCCATGCTGTATTGTGTAGTTATTGTCAGCTTATGAAGCATGCTTGCTTTGTGGGAAACCCTGACCACCATTATAACATATTTTACATATAAAGAGATAAATGATTAAGTTCTTACCTCTGGGATATCATAAAACTGCTTTAGTTTCTTATCCCTCCAGTACCAGTCCACGATCAAGAGCCTAGCATTGTCCATACTTAGTTTATCGTCCATGACAAGTCTATGAAACCTGTTTGGTGTACCTACGGCAATGTGTGTCACATGACTGGATAAATACGCAGCCTGATCTTCAATCTGATGTTAATAATAATAATAATAATAATTGATACAATAATGCAAGCTAATTCACTTTTGAATGTTTAGCACACAGTTTGATGACACTGATGTCTTTATGTGATGATACTAGTTGTCTGAGAGAGAGAGAGAGAAATGGACCAAATGAATCTAAACTAAGATAATTAGTTGTTACCTTTTTAAATGAGATGCTCTCTCTGCTGAGCTAGTCAGTACAATAACATATGGCGAACCATTACTCACCACACCTTCTTTACACCAGCTAATTAACATTGGACATACTAATAACAATAAATAAAAATTAAAAAATAATTATTAATATAATGGATTACTTATGGTAACCTACCATTACTTAAGTAAGGACCTAATTCAAGTGATACTCTTTCCTTTCCCTCTCTCTTCTCCTCCTCTTCCTCAATTTTGTAAGAAACAAAATATTTTTCTACAATAAAAAATTATACCAATAACGAGTGCTGTGGGTGCTGTTATAATTACTCTTTAATGAGAGCGGTTTCTCATTCAGTGTCTTTAGTTGAGATTGTAATTTAGTAGATAATTCATTTAATTGTCTGTTAGTAGTATGGAGGTCATTAATGCTCTCAGGCTATTAAAAGTACAAATTAAAATAAGTAACGATGGTCATTATTAAGTTTACTTTTAATAACTTTATCATTTCACTGATTTTTCTTCTTTTTTTCTTACTAGTCACACCCTCTTCATTTTTTCTTTTCCCTCCTCTCCTTCTGGCCTCTCTCTCCTCTGGTTCCAGCCACCAGTCTTCCTCATCAAGAGCATCAACTGACTCCATTGCCATGAGACAAGAAAGGGTTAATTTTATAACCACGCCCATAAAGAAACCACGCCTGTTTAGCTAATTAATATTCATTGACCACGTGTAACCTCACACTGGGTCTTGTTTTGAAGCTCTCCTATGGATTTACTCTCAGATCTGCTCGAGTCCTACCACAAGATAATCTCAGATAAGCTTAGTGAAAGAAGGGTGAGCCTATTCACTGGATTAATGTGGAATTATTCTTTATTTAATACTAGACAGGAGCTGAAACTTTAAGAAAGTTGCTACAGGCTGATAACTCCAGGGACCTAATCCAAGATAGGAGCAGTTCCTCTTCTTCTCGTGGAAGGCGACCCTCTAGTTGTGGTAATGTTCCGTCATGGGATGACCTATTTATAGCTGTTAAGGTTAGCTGGTAAACATACCACCATTCAATTAACCCTCACACCCACACATTTGATTAATGTGTGATGGAAGTACACAGTATCAGTGTCTTTATTGCTGCATATTTTATGCATACTCTATTAGGAGTCCCTCATGAAGGAGATAGAGAATATTAGAAATTTGGAGCAGTTGCGTCCTAATCCATCCAGTTCAGCTCAAACAGGAAGAAAGAAGCAAATTCAGGTAATTAATTCATTATACAGACGAATATTTTATTGTGTTGTGTTGTAGGATATTTTTGAAACATTACGTGTTCTACTTAAAGCAGCCAATTCAAGTAATGAATAATAA